ATTTTGGAGTGGGAGGTTTTTGATTACTAAGTCAATCACCACACTAGTTATTGGTCTATTCAGACTTTCTGTGTCTTTGGGATTCATTTTGGTAGGTTGTGTGCTTCTAGGAATTTGTCCAGTTCATCTAGGGTACCCAGTTTGCCGGCATAAAACTTTACATAGTTTTCTCATATAAATAGTTTTATAAATAATTTTATTTCTGTACATTGGTAGTAATGCTCCCCTTTTCATGTCTGATTTTAGTTATCTGGGTCTTCTCTCTTTTTTGAGTCAATCTAACTGAAGTTTTGTCCATTTAGTAAATCTTTCAAAGAACCAAATTTTGGTTTCATTGGTCTTTCCATATAATTTTAGGTACTTTCTATTTTATTTATCTCTAGTCTATTATTTAATTCCTTCCACTAGCTTTTGGTTTAATTTATACTTTTTTAAAAATTTTGTAAGTTTCTTACAGTGTAAAGTTGAATTCTTCTTTTTAATGTATGTGCCTACAAGTATACATTTTCCTCTAAGTAGTATTTCCCACCATCTCATAAATTTTGTTGTTATTGTAGAACTATTTCTCTTTTCAGTTCTGTGAATGCTTCATATATTTTGGAGTTCTCATGTGTGGTACATATATGTCTATAGTTGTCATGTCTTCTTGCTGAATTGACTCATCAATATATATGGTATTCTCGATTCTTGTAAAAACAAGACAGTCTATTTGACTTAAAGGCTATTTCATCTCATATTAATACAGCTACTTCAGCTCTCTTTTGATTACTATTTATATGGAATACATTTTTCCATCCTTTCATGTTAAGTTTATGTCTTTAAATATAAAGTGAGTCTCTTGCAGATAGCAGATGGATCCTGCTTCATTTGTATCCATCCTGCCAATCTCTAGCTCTTGTATGAGGAGTTTAGTCTATTTACATTTAATGTAATTAAGGTTAAAGAAAGTTTAAATGGCTTGCTTCTACCATTTTGTTACTTGATTTTTTTTTGTATGGCCTACAGCTTTTGGTTCCTTTATGTATTCCATCTTTGTTTTCTTTTTTATTTAGTTGATATATTTGTAGTAACTTCTTTTGTTTTCCTTCACATTTCCTTTGTTTATTTTCTTTTTGGTTACCACAGAGATTATATATAACATCCTAAAATTAGAAGAATCTAATTTGCATGGATACCAGCTTTACTTTAACTATATGTAAAATCTATATATCTCTACTTATTTTGCTTTGCAGAATATTGCAGAACCCGTTATTGACGTTAAATTGCATTTTATAAATTGCCTACCTAACAACCTAGATTTCTAGTTACTCTTATGCGCTTGTCTTTTAAATCATGTAGAGCATTGAAAAAAGGGGGATTTACACACAAAAGTTAGAATAATAGTGGTTTTGCATACCTTTACTGGAGATCTTTGTAGTTTCACACACCCTCATGGTACTGTCTAGCACCCTTTCATTTCAACCTGAGGGGTTTCCTTTATCTGTTCTTGTGGGACAGGTCTAGTCGTAATAAAGTTCCTCAGATTTTGTTTATCTGGAATTGACTAATTCCTCCTCATTTTTGAAGGCAGTTTTGCCAGATATACAATTCTCTCGACAGTTGTTGGCCTCTATTCCTCCGACCTCCAAGGTTTCTGATGAAAAAGTGGCTGACGATCTTTGTGGAGGCTCCCTTATAAGTGATGAGTTGCTTTACTCTTGATGATTTCAAAATTCTGTGTGTGTGGCTGTTCATAGTTTGATGACATGTGTCTTAGTGTGGGTCTCTTTTATTTTATCCCACTTGGAGTTCACTACACGTCCTGGATTTGTAGCTTCATGTTTTGCATAACTTTGAGAAGCTTTCCATGATTATTTCTTCAAATATTCTCTTTTCTCCTTTCTGATCCTTATCTCTTGGGACTCCCATTATACATATTTTGGTGCACTTGGTTTCTCATAGGTCCCTTTGGCTCCACTCAATTTTCTTCAATCTTTATTCTTCCTTTTCCTCAGACTCGATAACTTTAAATTGTCCTACATTTAAATTTGTTTATTTTTTTCCTCTGCATGCTGATAAACTGCTCTAGTAAATTCTTCAATTGTATTTTCAGCTTCAGAATTAATTTGGTTCTCTTTTATAATTTCTATCTCTTTGCTTATTTTATTTTGCTGTTGACATACTTTCCAAATTTCTCTTAGCTCTTTGTCCAAGTTTTCCCTCAGCTCTTTGAGCATAGATAAGACATACATAAGTTGCAGGTTCAATCCCCAGTCAGTATACACATGGGTGGAAACCAATTTATATCAACGTTTGTCTCCCCGCCCTGGCCCTTCCTTTCTAAAATCAGTTAAAAAATACACCTCCTCGGGTGAGGATCAAAAAATTATCAATATTTTGACATACTACTTTTGGTCCAAAAATTCAAATTACTTCAAATTCAAATTCCTCTTGATAGCTCTGTGTGTTTTTTGAATCAAACGGCAGAGGTTCCTGGAGGAGCCAATTTTGAAGGGAAGCAGCTGGCAGAGCAGCTGCCGAGCATGTGTGGAATGTGGTGGTCTGGCGTTTAGAAGTTTTCTTTTGACAGCTTGTGCAGGTCCACAGAGATCTGAAGCCTTCTTTCAAAAATATGAGGTTCTAAATAAATCAAAGGAGAGTATTGAGGTGACATGTGAATAAAAACAGCAACTTATTTAGGACTCCATTTACTGATTTAAGAGACTGTCTGACATGTATAATGGATGTAAATTTGACTAGAGAGATTTTTTTTTAGGTTATTGTACAAAGTCTGTTATTGAAAATTTCCCATAGCTTATTATTATATTACTAACTTTTATATAAAATATTATATTATCTAAATTTTATATACAAGTGTACAGACAGACTATTAGGTGAAGATATGGTTTTAGTCTGTTGGTTTTTCTTTTTCTTGCCTGTTTTAAGGTGACAAATCCCCAACACTTTCCAATGGAGTTTGGAAATTTAACGCAGTTCTGTCATTCATATGATAGCATTCTGTCCTTCATGATGTGAATGTTTACATACCCCAGAATTCATAAGTGGAAATCCTAGTCCCCAAAAGTGGTGGTATTAGGAGGTAGGGACTTGGGTCACGAGGATGGGGCCCTCAGAAATAGGATTAGTGCCCTTATAATAGAGAATCGCCAGAACTCCTTGTCCCTTCCACCAGGTGAGCATGGCATGCAGGTGCCTGCAATGAACAAGGAAGCTGGTCCTCACCTGACACCAAACCTGCTGGCACCTTGACCGTGAATGTTCACCTTGTATAACTCTGAGAATAGACACCTGTTGTTTATAATCCGCCCCACCTGCGCATTTTGTTAGAGCAGCCTGAATAGGCTAAGACACGAGTCAAACGGGGTTAAAACGCCTTGATTTTAAGAGAAACATACTAACATATTCTGCTTCTGGTAAGAAAATAAAGAATACCAAAATAAAACTGCGGAGATCCCAAAGAGAAAGTTTTGTTCAAAAGCCAAGGAAGCCTAGCCTAATTTTTTGTTGATATTTGCTTTCCTACTAAACACACACACACACACACACACGCACACGTGTGTGTGCATGCACTCCTCTTCAGTTTTTTGAGCGTGGAGGCAGGTAAATGAAAGACGTGATTTTACGCTCATGTTATGCTCACGTGGCTTCTGGAGAATCTTCTGTACAACTGATGTTTTGTCGGCATCTCTCACTTCTGGCGAAAAATACAAAAATGCTGCAAACAGCCCCAGGAAACATCGATCTAGATTCTTTTCCCAGTGACACCAGGGTTTGGTTGACATGTGCCACATTTATTCTTCTCACAGTTCAGAAAACTCGTAGAGTGCTGCTAAAATTTTCCCTTCTGGTCTGCATATTGCTGTTTTGAGAAAGCTGCTAATATTTTCCACGCAAGGTGATGTTCGAGAATTCCCTTGGCTCATGTTGAAGCACTGAAAGTCGTGTGGATTTAAACATATACAGCCATACCTCGGTACTCATCGGCTTCAGAACTCGTCACACACTGCCGTTGTTGCATTTTGATGAGAGAAAAATATTTCAGCCCTCCTCAGTACTCGTCGGTTTCGGCACTGAGTTCCGGGACGAATTAACGGCGAGTACCGAGACACCATGATATTTATCAAGATTCTACTTAGACCCGCTGGAGCCATAGTTAAAGGGCTACAGACCCTCAACGTTTTGAGATAAAATTTAAATCTGTGGGCCAGCCCTTGAAGACCTCAAGAACACTTTCAGGCCAGGAGATCAACAAGGACACATAGACAAAATGACTCTAAGACAAAACACGACGAAAACCAGTGCAAAGTCAAGGCAAGAAACAGCAGTGATTTAAGGGCACCATCTAGCATCGGGGCAGGGAGGGTGGCTATATTCCCAGCAATGAATACCCCCATAGTGGGAGCATCCTGGGAATGGCTGGCGGTTTCCACGGTAACCAGGGCAGCCCCGGGCCTCCGCGGGCCCCAGGCAGCCGTCCGGTATCGGATGCGGGCAATTTCACCAGGAGGGAGACCTGGAGAGAAAGCGCTCTCATCCGGGAGCCTCGCGGCTAGTCCTTCCTGTAAACCCTGGCGGCCTCACCTTGTGAAACTCCGCGGAGATTATATCCCACACCAGCATAACGACACATTTTGTTTTGTTTTGTTTTCCTACTCTGCACACGGCTTTGGGACCACGTTAGCGAAAGCTTCCGCGGTGTCAGGATTATATTAATTACAGGCCTTTGCGGCTGTAACACGGGAAATCCATCCCGAGGGGATCAGGGTTCGCGGATATGGAGACCCAATTAGCTCAACTAAGCCCAAGTCGGCTGTCCCCTCGCTTGTGGCTATTAATAGCAACAGCGAAGCCCCAGACCCTGTAAAATTCCTTTTTCTGTTGAGCTCAGAGTGTTTTACGGACGTCTGCTCATGCATCTGAGGACGCGGCCTCAGACACTGCGACCAGCTCAAGGTAGAAGTTCAAGGTCAGGGCGCCGCAGCCCCGAGAGGCAGACTGACCTGAGGCCATACAACACCGTCCCATCGGGGTGAAGCCGGATCATGCGGTTTTTCACCGTCACGCCGTGCACGAACGACTTTTTGTCGTTTAGGAAATACGTGTCGGGCACCCATAGCTGGTCGGCCACGCGATTGTCGAGCGTGAGGTTGAGGGGGATCCCAGAGTAGGCGAGCCTTTTATCTCTCCAGTATTGTTGAAAATACATGGTTAAGGTGTAATCCTAGGGGGCAAAGAAAGAAAAGAAATTAGTTTGTGCTCGGTCAAATTGGCATTGAAAAAACACCACACAGGGCCCTGGCCGGAGTGGCTCAGTGGGTTGGGCGTTGTTTCATAGACTGAGGGGTCGCGGGTTCGAGACCTGGTCATGGCATACACCTGCGTGTGGTTCTGGCCCTGGTTGGAGTGCCTGCCGGAGGCAACCGATTGATGTTTCTCTCTCTCCCTCCCTTCCTTTCTCTAACATCAGTGGGCATGCTCCTGGGGGAAGAAGATATTAAAAAAAAATGCACACACAGAAATAAAGCTCCCTCCCCACCAAAAGTCATTGTAATATCAGGTTGTTGGCAGAAACCTGGACTTGAGTCCTCCCCCAAGGGATCCCCTGGGTCCCTGTCTCCTGCCACCAGGACACAGGAGCTTGACATACCAACTGTCTCTGTTGCGCATGTGTCCTTGCCTTCCACGTGGGCTGCAAATACCAGGCCGCCCCCCGCCAAACGTGCACTGCAGACACGTGACCTGTGGGAGGTCTCTACCCCTCACCCCTCACATCTTCTCATTCTTCCAGATCGCCAAGGCCACTTGTCTGTCCGCTCTCTGGGCCACGGCGCCAAAGCGAGACAGGACATGTCCCTCTGGGACGATGGGAGCCTGAGGCTGAATCTGGGTGTGGGACAGGGACACGGGTCTCCTTTCAGCTGCTGCAGGTTTGCTATGATGTCAGCATGTATCTGAGCAGGTGACCAGACTTTTATTTCCTAGGTTTTTTCCGAAGTAGTTGGTGTGATAAGAAAGTGGGGAAAAAGAAAATCAGAGGCTGAGCATGGGCATTCTGGTTTTTTAATTTTTACTCCTTTTGGAAGTGACTGTGTAAGCCTAGAATAATCAAGTCTGAAAATCTGGTAATATTCATGGGACATCTTAAAGCGAAAGACTTTAAGACTCGTGTGGAAAGATCCAAAGCGAAAATTCAAAAGTGAGTGGCTAAATTCTCCAATCAGGGGAGGAAAAATCACATGAAAACTCCTTTTTGTTTTTTAAGCTTCCGAATGTTTTTTTTAAAAATTCATTTATTGATTTGGGAGAGAGAGAGTGTGTGTGAGGGGTGGGGGGAGGGATAGAGAGAGAGAGAGAGAAACATCAATTCGTTGTTCCACCCATCCACGTACTCATTGGTTGATTCTTGTATGTGCCCCGACTGGGGATCGAACCCGCAACCTTGGAGTATCAGGATGATGCCCCAACCCACTGAGCTACCCAGCCAGGGCTTCTAAATGTCTTTTAAGAAGCAAGTATAACATTAATATTTAAGCCCGGTAAAGGTAGCACAAAGTAATTTATAACTACATTAGTGAAGGATGTTACTTAATTCCAATAGTACTTAAGAACATTGCTGCAAAAATTCTCAAAATGTTACCTTACAGAATTATTTGTGCCCATACAAATAACGCCCTTTTTTTATTACAAAACCTCTTATCACAAATCACAAGGATGTAACTCCGAAGCATAACAACAGCACACTCAAGCACGCCATAGGACATTTTAGGTGAAGTGTTCAAATTAAAATGATGAATTATTACACCCATATTATTAGCCTACCAACCACACTCAAGCAGGCCTTACTTCCGCCGGACCCTGCAGAATAAAACTGTGTATACATTTACCTTTGACTCAGTGATTCCACTTTTCAAGAAAGTTCTCCTGACACAACCATATCACAATGATAGGAAGGTACAGAAACGCCCATAAATACACTGATTGACAAAACTGTTGCCTACCCACACCATGGAGCACTATGCAGCTGTGACAAAGGACTATGATCTTCGTGATCTCGTTGGGGCGGCTTTCCATATTGTTAAGTGAAAAAAAAAGCAAAGTTCAAAAGAACACATGCATACATAGAGTTCCCTTTCGTGTAAGAAAGGAGGAATAAGAGAATTGACGTGTACCTGCGTGGCGGTTGCACGCGGGAGCTCCTGACCTCGCGCGCTTGTACACCACGTATGTCTGCGAACGCCCTCGCTCTGTGGCCTGCGAGGGGCCGAGAACCCACCCCGGACGCAGGTCTTCCAACATCCCACCGAATATCTCGGTGCTCGCCCGCCCATCGATGGCCATTCATTCCCGGTCCCAGGAGTGTTGGGAGAGGGAAACAAGCCAGTCAGAGAAAGACAAGTACCATGTGATCTCACTCATATGCGGAACCCAACGAACAGACTGAACTAACAAGCAAACTAGAGACAGACCCACAGATAGAGAGGAGGAGGGCAGCTACGGGGGAGGCTTGGGGGGCGGAGGGATGGAGCAAAAACGCAAATAGACTCACGGACCCGGACAACAGTGTGATAATGGCGTGCGGGCGTGGGAGGCAGGTGGAGGCGGAAGAGCGTATAGGTGGGAAAATACAACAGAAAGTGAATTAATAAATAAAGAAAAAGAAAAAAGAATGTTGGGATGTGACAGAGAGCATACCTGGCCGTTTCCAGGTGCTCAGAGGCAAGGTGGCTACAAAACCAATACGTTCCCCACAACTAGGAACAAAATACGTTTTCCGCTCTAAGGCTCATAAAAATCTGAAAAAGGGGGAAGCGAGACAATTCGAGTGGGCTGGCAGTCTTTAGAGGGGTTCCAGCGCATGACAAAAGACAGGGGACTTTCCCCCACTTACCTGTGCCTGTTATGACCTGCGTGACCCCAACCCCTCCCCCCGCCCCCAAGGTTCCCACAGAGCAGATGGCGCTGAAGATAGGCCTCGCTTAGCCAGACACCAGGTAGGAACACAAACAGTCACATGACAATGCCGCTCTCACTCTGTTGACAGGGAACCCTGAGCCAGCAGTGTCGTCAAAACTTAGGGGGCATGAGGGAAAAGCGACAGAGAGGCAGGGCCCCCTGGACCCCATGGCGCTGACCAGAAGGGAACAAGCTTGAACGCCAGCTCCACCGTTGACGGCCGCCAGCGAAGGCTTCTGAGCCGCGAGTCCATCCCCAAGTGTACTGCCCGCGTCTTTCATTTTGTTCCCTGCCGTCCCAGCATCTGCGCCCCCGCGGACTCTGGAAGGACCGCCCGCCCTCCCCCCAGGGCAGCTCGGTTGTGCTTTTCAATTGCAAACGGACTCATCGCCAGGTCTTACCCACAACCGGCTTCTTTACTGGGTTCTCACACTCCAGGCCAGGAAGTCACCCCGTGTCCAGGCCACCAGGCCACCAGGCACAGTCTAGGCCCCAGCGCTATCGCCCTGACCGCCTCGCCCAGCCTCGCCCGCTCCCTCCCTTGGAAACGCCGGTCAAGGTCACTGTCTCCCGCAGGCTCGGCCCCCAGGGCGTCCCTGCGTGGCGCCCGGGGCTATGGCGCATCCCCTTCTCTTGGGCTCTGCGGGTAACAGCCTATCTTTTCAGTGACAGTGTCTCCTGCTCTGTTGGCCTTGATTCAAATGATCACAGAACCTCGTCTTGTGCCCCCAGAGCCGAGGACGAGGAAGACCAGCTTGGCTGCGGTGGGGAGTCCACTGGCAGGACCGTGGCGAGCAGAGGCCCGAGTGAAGAGGAGGGGGCCCCCTGGCGGTGACGAGGGAGAACAGGAGGAACGCGGTGCCGGACCGGGAGCCCGGAGCCGCTCACAGACCTCGGGTGGCCGTAGATCCCCAAGAAGGCAATGCATTTTAACCCAGTCATGCCGCCCTGAGGTGCCAGAATGGTGGAAATGAACGCGTGGCAGTCGGTAAAGGAGGTTGGATTTGAACGCGACCCTCCAAGCCACGTCCTCCGTGAAACCGAGGGGTGTCGCCTGCTCCTTCGGTTGCTTTTAGGGGTCCTGAAGTCTCGCAGCTTCTCCCATCCCCCTTCCCACTGCTGTCCACGTGGGCTGCCATGAGAACGGAGGGACCCCGGCGGTGTGCCCTGGGAACCCCGTTGTCTCTCACAGTCTGAAAGCTCCGGTGGGGTCTTATTTTTGGACTGAGCAGCTGTCCCCGCCAGCCGCCTCACCTGTCCGGGCTTGGGGGCTTGCTGAGCTGACCTGAGTGGGTTTGGGGCGGGACGCGGCCCAGGAAACGGAGAAAGCAGGGAGGATTTCGATGCCACCTGCGGTCTCTGCCGTGGTTCCCACGGCGAAGACATCGGTGCATCAGCGGGGACACTAGCCACCGTCCTACTTCTTTGTTCTGCCTTCCTGCGCACCTGGGAGGCAGCTGATGGATGATTTAACTGCTCGGGAAGCCACGCTGCTGACTCTGGGGATGTGCAGTGGTGTGCGTGCGCGCCACGCGCGGGGACCGCCGGGGCAGTTCACACATTCTCTACTCCAGCACGTACCCAGCCTCAAGCCAGGACCATGTCATTTAAATACAAAGAGGGCATTGTTCAGATGATCATTACGATCCCCGCTCAACGAAGAAAAAACAGTTGAGAGAGCGCACGTGGTTCGCCTTCCCCGCCCTCCCCCAATGCCCGGCTAAACACGAGTAAGTGGGGAGACGGGACTTAAACCCAGCGCTGCCTCCCCCTAGGACGCGGCTCCCAAAATCGATGCTCTCGGGGATACGGAGCCAAATGGTTCTGCGCAACAGAACGAGAGGGACGTGGCTGGGACTGGCTTGCAAAGACAGGCCTGAGCGCGCCCTGGAGGGCGGCCGGCCTGGTGGGCACACAGTAGGAAGAGCCAGGCCGTCCCTTGGCGGTGGCCGAGGCAGCCATATCGGTCCGTCTACACAGAGCATGTTGGCGGAAGGAGGAGGAACCAGAGATTGGAGTGTACAGAGTAGCAGCTCTAATGGGGCTTTGGTGACAGGCTTGTGTGCAGGGGACACAGAGCCTCCTGTTCCCTGGGGGCCCCACAGGCTGAAGGGAGGATGTCCCTGTCCTCACACTGCCTGCTTTCTTCCTGCCTGGCTGGGGACCTTCGTGGCACAGAGCTCTGGGCTCATCGCTTGCCGCGACCTGATTGTAGAAGTCTGCACGTTGGCTGGGGGTAGAGATCGGCGGGCCGGGCAGCCTTGGTAA